TGCCCGGCCCCGCCCGCGGCTTCGCTCCGCGCTTTTCCTCGGGGGAGGGGGGTGTATTCCTAGGAGTTACTGCACACACGATCCTAGAAATGTGCTTGTTGTGATTCTTACATAAATTACAGTTATCCTTATTTTCTACCGTTCTCATATCATAAAGGAAAATAAGGCATTTCAAAAACCCAGAGTAGATCATTAAAAACAAAAGCAGCAGAGAATTAAAAACAAGCAGCAACCCTGTCTAGGTCCTTTGATAAACTATTATAAACTGATGCAGTTAGGTTTTTACCTGTTGGACTTGTTGAACGTGGGCACATGCCTGGTCTTCGATTTCAGGGTTTTGGTCACTTAGATCCCCACCTTTTTCCACCAAATTAAAGACCCTTGGTCACCCAGCAGCTTCCTGGTCCCAGGAACATGGGGGGAAACTGGTTTAGGGAGCAAGTCTTCGAGCACTAATGAGCACTGAGTGGTGGGCGATGCTCACACTCTGGCTCCGCCCATCACCCGCTGAGACCAAGACCCTTTCTTTACACACCTGAGGCCGGGTGTTTCCTCTTTGTGAAAGGGGAGCTTGATCCCTACTCACAGGTTCCTTAATTTTTTGCCCAAATATTGGGGGAACAGTGAGGAAAATGACAAGTTCTGTTTTCATGGTGCTTACATTCCAATGGTTGAAGAGACATTAAGTAGAGTTCTCACTTATTATTGATAGGTTCTTGGAACTGGGCAAATGTGCATATAATGAAACCAATTCTACCATAGGCTAGTTGATATAAACAAGTTAACTTCCTAGATCTCATAAGCGTTATAACTAAACAATGTTAATGAAAGGTTACAGTGCCTGCTGTAATCCTCCTATATAATAAAAGGCTAATATGCAAATGGACCAAACGGTGGAACAACCAGTCGGTATGACATGCACTGACCACCACAGGGCAGACGCTCAACGCAGGAGCTGCCCCCTGGTGGTCAGTGCACTGCCACAGGGGGAGTGCTACTCAGCCAGAAGCCCAGCCCACGACTGGCGAGCAGTAGTGGTGGCGGGAGCCTCTCCCACCTCCAGGATATGGGCAGGCGGTAAGGAGTGAGGGGTCCCAGACTGCGAGAGGGCACAGGCTGGGCTGAGGGACACTCCCCGCCCCCGAGTGCATGAATTTTGTGCACTGGGCCTCTAGTCTTTATATAAGTATGGGGGAGGGGAGTGAGCACAGGGTAAGGGGGAAGCCTCTTCAAGGGGGTTGATGAACATAAGCCTCATTTGAGAAGGTGGCACCTGAGACATGAAGAGAGGGAGGGAGGGAGGGAGCTGAGCAGCACCTGGGAGTTATTCCAGGAAGAGGGAGCAGCTGGTTCACCAGACTAGGAGCTCAGCTGCTATATTAGGGGAATAGGGGAAAGAGAGGAGGTGGGTGTGTCTAGAGCAGAGAGTGACGAAGAAGGGCAAGCAGGAGTGATCAGAGAAATAAGGGACAGGGGAAGCCATGGAGGCCTCACAGGTAATTATGAGGATGAAATGAGAGCTGGACTTCTCCCATCCAGCCTACCCTGAGCAGGAGCCAAGGGAAGGTGCTGAAATTTCTCCAGGCAGAACCTGTGGGCAAGCAAGCAGAACCCAACCCTTCCGGGGACTGCTGAAGGCCTGTTGCTGCCCCCTGGGCCCATTTGGGCCAGTGCTTTGCCTGGAAACTGGTTGGCACTGAATCCCAGCCTGGCCTGTGTGGGAAGAACCAGTCTCTCAGCCACCACCGGCAGTGGAGAGGGCCCACCACCAGCCTGTGAGACTAGCTACCTATGGGAGATTTTTTTTAAAAATATATTTTTATTGATTTCAGAGAGGAAGGGAGAGGGAGAGAGAGATAGAAACATCAATGATGAGAGAGAATCACTGATCGGCTGCCTCCTGCACGCCCCCCACTGGGGATCGAGCCCGCAACCTGGGCATATGCCCTGACCGGGAATTGAACCGGTGACCTCTCGGTTCCTGGGTCAACGCTCAACCGCTGAGCTACACCCAGCCGGGCCTTATGGGAGATTTTACAGTTTACACACCATACGCTGGGCTCAGGAGACAGGTCTTGCAGGAACTTCCTTTTCTTCCACTACTGCAACAATGTTGAAAAAAAGCTCAGGCTTCCAGGGGGGTAAATGTTTAAAACGGAGCCACTTAAGCCTCAGGACTTTGCTTTTGGCTTCTCTGATAACCCCAATTCCCAGCAGGCTCTGTTTGCCCAAGTTGGAGGTTTAGTCTGGGGAACAACAGGGTTGTGGTTTCTGATTCTCCTCTGGCCAAGGCAGGTCAGCCCCCTTAAACCTCAGCTTTCTTACCTGTGTATTGGGATGGCTAGAAAATCTTATTGCCAGGGTTTTGTAAGGAGCAGTGTGTTTGTAGAACAGAGGTCACTGCAAGTTCAGCTGGAATGGGGTAACCTGCATGCCTCTGAGGCCCCTTTTCCCATGGATGCTCATTTATAAATGAGGTTACATTCCCCAGCTAACCCTTCAATGCCTAG